ATTCAGCATCCAGCACCCAGAATCCAGGATCCAGCACTCAAAATCCAGCATCCAGCACTCAAAATCCAGCATCCAGCACCCGGGATCCAGCCTGCAGCACTCAAAATCCAGCACCCAGGATTCAGCATCCAGCACCCCGCTTGCAGCACTCAAAATCCAACATCCAGCACCCAGGATCCAGCTTGCACTCAAAATCCAGCACCCAGCATCCACAATCCAGCACCCAACACCCAGCATCCAGCACTGCCCAGGGATAAATACAGAATGCTGAGCCCTGGGCAATTTACAAGTCACCCCAAGAAAACGCTGCACTCTGGGCCCCCAGTGCCACGCTCCCCCCTGGCCCTGCAGCCCGGGTTTCTCCCGTTCCCACTGTCAAACACGATGGGATAATTAGAGCAGCTAATGACCCAAAGCCGGTTAAAGTCCCCGTGAAGTGCCCGGCTGGGACAAACGCGGCTTAGCAGAGATGTTCTCCCCCCTGGCAGTGCCAGGGCTGCCGCCTCTCCATGGAGCCGTGACCCCGACACCAGCACGGGCACAGAGAGAGTGTGCCAGTCTAGGGCTGGCACCCAGCGCCAGCCTCTCTGTCACAGAGGGGGACACGGGGACAGCCGTGCCACCCTGGGGCAGCACAGCCCTCCTTGGGGTCACACTCAGGGGTGTAAATGGGATAAATAGCAGCAGCCCCGCGGCCGGCAGCGATGCCGAGGCAGGGCTGTGACATTGTGCCAGGAGAAAGCCACCGGGGCTGTGACATTGTGCCAGGAGAAAGCCACCGGGGCTGTGACATTGTGCCAGGGCAAAGCCACCAGGGCGCGGGGCCCTGCGCGGCTCACCTCCCCTTCCCCCAGGACCAGCACGCAGCACCCGCTCCCTTCTCCCTTCCCTTCTCGCCGGCATCTCCCGGCTCCAAACTTTGCATCCCCTCGCAGGATCTGTCCCCGAAGGCTGGCATGAACCGAGCCCTTGGCGTTTCTGTGACACCGAGGGAAATCGGGCGATCCCGGGGGCCCAGGGCCGGGCAGCGCTGCCGTGCAGCTCCAGGCGCCGGCTGGGAAGGACGATTTGGGTGGGGAGGGGTTAACCCTTGCTGCAAACACCTGCATCCACCACGGCCAGAGCCTTCTGCTCCCAAGGCCCCCCTGGCTCTCGGTGGGGAATGGAGCCATGACACGGCCGGAGTTGGCCAGAGCTCTCATTCCCGACGCATCTCCCCGCTGTGGAGCCGGGCGATGCCGGAGCCCACGGCCAGCTCATCGCAGCGTGGCTGGAGCAGCCCGCACCGCCCAATCCAGCCGGGTTGAAAGGCTTTGAGCCCAGCCGGAGGGCTGCAGGCACGGAGCCGAGCAGGGACGGAGGCAGAGGAGTGCACACCAAGCACGACAGCAACTGGTGGCTCTTGGGAGACTTCCCTACTTTGGGTTCAGCATCCAGCCTGGCTGCGGCACGGACACTCCCAGGGCCCCCGAGCATCACCTGGGGGCTCCTCAGCGCTGCACTGCCATCCCAGGTTCCCCAGCATGGACAACCGGCCCTAAACACCCACCCACATCCCCAACACCAGGGCAAACTCCCACGGAAACTTAGCAACTCACTGCAATCGTCCGACTCGTAGCCCTCGGGGTCCACCAGCTCCTCGGGCGCTTGGCTCCTGGCCGGCTGCTCGGCGGGCGTCGCTCCGTGCGCTCCGAAGAGCTGGTCCACATCCTCCTCATCGTCGCGGGGATGCTCGGAGGGGCTGCCCGAGGTCTGGCTGGGCGCGGGGCGAGGGGCGCCGCTGCTGCTGCGGCCGACGGCGGCGGGGAGCCCGCGGGGGAAGCGGGGGAAGTAATCGGAGATCTGCTTGATGGGTTTGATGGGGCCGGGGCAGACGTCAATGGCCATGTGCTCCTGGATACTTATGGTCATTTTCTCTCCTTTGCGGAGTGTCATGCATGCGGCTGTGGCTGCCGAGCTGCCCCCAGCCCCGGGAAAGCCCGGAGAGGGAAGTTTCAGCCGGGGGCAGATGAGGAGGAGGAGGAGGAGGAGGCTCCGGAGGGTTCCTTAGGTGGTTGTGGCGCCCTGAGCCTCGGTGGCCGCACGCATGCTGCTCCTATTGCTGCTGCTGTCGCTGCTCCTGTCGCTGCTATCGCTGCCAGCCCCGGCGCTCGCACGGCCCCTGATCCTGCCAGCGCTGCCGGGGAATAAATGAGCGAGACAGAGAGACGGATAAGAGGCAGGGGGTGGGCTCTCGGGTGATGTCACCAGCTAGCAACAAAGCGGTGCCCAGCAGCGGAGGAATGAGGGCTGTGGCCGGCCTGGCGCCCCGGGCACGCGGCCGGCGGCGTGGGCAGCCCACCCTGACCCTGCCCCGGACCCCGTCCCTGCCCCAGGAGCTGGGGTGATGGGGTGAGGGAGGTGGGCGTGGATTCATCGCCCTGGCAAAGCGGGGCTGGTCCCTGCCGGACCCTTCCTGAGGTCACCGGGCAGGGTTAGGAGCCAGCGTGCTTGTTTTTTCCCATCTGGGGTGGTGTGGAGAGGGACAGGGACAGCCCCCAGGGACAGGGACAGCCCTCGGGGGACCCTGACAGCCTCTAGGGACAGGGACAGCCCCCTGAGACAGGGACAGACCCCAGGGACAGGGACAGACCTGCAGGCAGCGCCAGGGCGATGCTGTGCCAGGGTGATGCTGTGCCAGGGCGATGCTGTGCCACATCCCCAGCCTGGAGCATGGATGGCATCACTGCCCACTCCCTGCACCCCAAGGGACAGGGACAGCCCTGACACGGATCCCTGCTGCCCCAGCCCACAGCAATGTCCCTTCCAGAGCTCAGCACCGGCTGGATGAGCTTCTGGAGCTGGGGACACACCGGGGATTGAAGCAACACGTGTGCCCTGCTCAGGGTGGCACAGCCCCTGCCAGCTGGTGTGTGGCTGTGCCATGGGGCTGGTTCAGCACCACAGAGGGGCCAGGGATTGGCTGGGACAGGGCTCAGTGACACTGTGGCCATGCTCAGCACCCTCCTGGGCATGGCCAGGGCCCCAGCACAACCAGGACAGGGACAGGCTCCTGCACAGGCTCCCTGGAAAATGCTGAGCTGTGCTTTGCTCAGGGAGTTGGTCTCAAACTGCTGGTTTTACTCATTCCCCCCTGTGTCCAAATCAATAAATCTGTGGCCTCACAAGCTGCTGGAAGTGGACTTTTCAGCAAGGAGCGCCAGAAGAGAAACACTGCGGGAAAATGATGCAAAATCCTGCCCAAGTTACTCACCCTGCCCAGGAAAATGTGCCTGAAGTATTTCAGAGGAGCAGCCTCAGCTCTGGGGGGGTCTGGTGTGAGGCTGGGACACTTGGCATGCTCTGCTCACCCACCACCATGCCCAGCTGCCCACCAGGTATCCTGGCACATCCCTTAGCCATGCACTCAGAGCTGCAGGCTCCTGGCAGGCAGGTGATTATTAAAAACAAAGCTCTGCTCTCTTCAGAGGATTTCCCCCAAATCCCAACAAAATGACACCCAACCTGTCTGTCTGCAGCAGAGAGTTCAGCTTTCATTCAGATTTTGGTAAATGTTAATGCAGGTCTTTGAGTCATAACACACTGACACCAGGCAAACCAACCTCATTCACTCCTCACAGGCAAGTGAATGTTTCTCTCCTGAAGCATCCAAACTTGTCACTGCTCTGCACCCAGACACGAGGCACATCTGAGGATGATCTAATGACCTGGGAGAGCAGGAGGCAGCTCACTGCTCCTTTGTGTCCCTGTGTTTTCTCTGCTCCTTTGTGTCCCTGCTGTGTTTTCCCTCCGAGGTGGCTCCTGCCTGTTGCAGGTCTGACAGCAGATCCAGCCTCAGTTTAACCCCCTTCCCACATCCAAGGACTCCCAGGACGTTAATTCAGAGGGAAATGCCACTCAGAGGCTGAAAACCTCACAGGTGGGCTGATTATGGGTGGGAAGATCCCAGCAAGCACAAGGAGGTACCTCTGGGTTTGGGTGTGTTCATCCACACAGGCTCCATCTTCGGGTGCAGCACGCAGGATGTGGTGTGGACTCAGACAGAGCGAAGCAGAAATTGGGCCTGATGCCCAGAAAATAGCAGCAATTTCCTCTGAGAAAGGGCAGATAAATAAATAAATAAAATCAAGTTACACGCGAGAGCCTAATGCCGTTACTGCCATTACAAAAGCGTCATCGCTTCAAACGCTTCCTCAAAGACCCAAATGGGCAAAGATTGTTTTATAGGGCTGAAAATCAAGGCTTTGGGAATTAAACTGAACCTCTGGACTCTTCTTCCTCCTGTTTTATAGGGCTGAAAATCAAGGCTCTGGGAATTAAGGTGAACCTCTGGACTCTTCTTCCTCCTGCATCCACAGCTGGAATCAGGATCCAGCAGCACCAAATGGGAGAGGCTCAGCTCACCCAGAAGAGCAACAAGGGGACAAAAAAAGGCAGAATTGAAGCAGAAAAACTCCCTGAAGCAGGGCAGGTGTTGCCCCTGATGGAGACCCCATCACCAGCCCTACAGACTGATAAACCCAAACCAAAACTCACTGCTCACAGCCCAGGTGGGACTCTGGTCCCTGCTTGATCCCAAGCCTGCAGAAAACAGCTGGAGCATTTTCTCAGCCTTTAATGAGCCCCAAAGCAGCTTGGTCTTGATAAACCACATTTTTCCTACCTGAGTGCTCCCTCCTGGGCTGCACAGCCCCACACATACCCAGGGCTCCCCAAACATGTCACACAAAGCAACACAGAAGGAGAAAGGGACAAAAATAGAAAGTTGGGCTGGAAGACAAAAGCAGGCTGGCAGATACAAAGCCAGTTTCCAGGTAAAGCTCTTAATTCCCACCGTCTGTCTAATGCCCTGGAATGTGACTTGATTTGATCCCTGGCTCTGCTGGGGCTGCTCTGCCCACGCCCGTGGCCTCTGCTGCCCTGGGAGGGGGAGTTTGATTTCCCCAGCAGCCCCCTGGGAGGAAAAGAGAGAGTTTGAATGTTAAAATGGCAATTTGAAGCCACAGCTCTGCCTGGCAGGAGCAGAGCCACTCTGTCAGGGCATAGGGAGGGAGAGGTGGATATCACAGAGCCACCATCCAAGCAGGGATGGGATGAGGAGAAGAGCAATTTTCTCTGTCAAAACCCATGTTTTCTCCCAAGATACTGAGCCCAGCACCTGTGACATTGTGCTTGGGCTGTGGGATGCAGGAACTGTCACTCCAGCTCCAGTCCAGGCTCTGAGAACTCCAAGGTTTTACTTTAAATGTTGCCCTGAACAGAGGCACAAGCACAGGTTTAAATACATCCATAAAATGCCTGTGGCACTCACTCTCCCTGTGCCACAGCCCAGATTCCTCCTCTGGAAATGGGCAAACATAAGGAATGTTCCTACAGCCCCCAAAAATTCACAACACAGATTAAACACACACCCAAACCCACTGTCTGTCCTCAGGACACACTTCAACCAATTCTCTTACAAATGCTGAGCACCAAGTTCTGCTGCTCCAGCTTTAAATCCATGAGAGCAGGGGCTGATTCCAGTCTGATCAATTCATTTCCAAATGGAGAGCACAGCAGCAGGCTGGCACATCCCATTGCTTGCCAGGGATTCACCCACTGGTTCTTTATTTATTTCTTTGTCAACTCAAAATCTCTCTGAGCCCCCTGCTCTGCTGGAGAGAGCACAAAGATGCCAAATCAAAGCCTTCACCACCTCTGGATCTCACCCTTGACCTCGGAGAGGTGGGACAGGGAGGTGACACAGGCAACACCAGCCCCAGCTGGAATTTTGCTTTTCCCAACCATTTTTAAGTCTGAAATTCCCCACAGCTGTAAGGCAGGAGAAGGTGCCAGCAGGCACCAGCAGCTCAATCTGGCTGCAGGGGCAGAGCTGGGGGGTTTAACACTGCCAGGGGATGCCAACACTGCCAGGGGATGCCAACACTGCTGCAAGAGACCCCTCCATCTCTCAGCTCTGACCCTGCCTTCAGCTCCCCTGATTGGGAGCTATGAAACGTATTTTTTATTTTTTTTTCACTGAGCTGCAGCATGGCTGTGTGCATGGGAAGGGGGTTAATTGAAAAGCAACCTGTGCCTGGCTCAGGCTCTGTCTCCTGGCTGATGCTCAGCTCCCCTCCAAGATCCCTGCCCTGGCTGAGCCCATTGCACTCCTTACCTGGTCAAACAGCCTTTGCATTTGCTAAGTAAAGCAATAATAATAATGGTGATAACTGGGAAACTTGGCCAAAATAATCCTAAGGAGCTTATTCCAGGCTGTGCTGATTGAGGCTCCCCATCAGTGCTGATATCCCAGCGCACCCCGGCCCCCACTGCTCCTCTGCTTGGATAATATCTGAAGCTATCTGTGCTCCAACAGGCCCTGCTAACAACCATTATTTGACCAGATTTAACCAGCAATTACTAGCTGTGAGCAAAATCACTGTGGTGGAATACAGCCCACATCCCTTTTCACAACACAGACACAAACAAACCCTTGCACTGAGCCAGGCAAGGGCCAAATGCCAGCAGGGAAGGGCCCTCTCCCCTCAAAATATTCCTTAAGGTTCCCAGGGACTTTATGAGACACCCAACCAGTGGAAAAGGTGGATGGAATCCTCCTGGCCAGCATTTTGGTACCTGCAGAAGGACCTGGAAAGGAGCTGGAAAGGAGGAGGGAGGGAGGGAGGCATCAGCTCTCCCTGCATCCTCAGGATGGGCCCAGAATAGCTTTTATACTTTTGGTAGGGGCTGATGTTTAACGTTCAGCATATGTTGCCATTTCCATGGGAATCCCAAAATAGTTGGTGTTTTCTTTTGTAATTTCCATGCCCTGAGGGTTTTTTGGAGTCCTGAGGAGCATCCTGAGCCCTCCTGTTGGTGAGGGGGCCTGCCCTGCTCTGCACCCTGACACCCCTGTGCCAACACCCAGGCACTGCCAGCCCAGCAGAGGGGACAAACAGCTCTGTAAATCCCAGTTCTGCGGAGCAGGTCATAAACCCACCCAGGGTGGGGCTGTGCACAGCAGGAAAATCCACCCCAGCTGTGCCCAGGACTGGGGTGACATCCAGTCTTGGGGCACAGCACTGCCAAGGCCTCAGTCCTCAGGGTTTTCTTGGGGATGAACCTTTTTTGGGTTTTTTCCTCAGATTTCTCTGGGCTCAGTCCTCAGGGGGGTTTTCTTGGGGATGAACCTTTTTGGGTTTTTTCCCTCAGATTTCTCTCCTGATCTGTGTGTCCCTCTGAACTCCATGGGTTTGCCACCACCAGAGCCACCCTCTCACACGGCTGGCTCTGATTGTTGTGAGACAAACGCAGACCCTTGCAATCAAGGGAGGGGAGACTTCTGTGCAGCATCAACTCCTATTAGACTAATTTTATCTGCTCTCAGAGCCTCCCCAAGCTGGAGTCAACGTCCTCTGAGATTATCCAGCTGACTTGTCTCAGGAGTTCCACCCTGCTTTCACCTCTTCCCGGTTGTCTCCCAGCTGCAGGAGGATGACAGAATCCCATCCCTGCTCAAGGAGCAAAGCCTGGTGCTCATTTTGCAGCAGAGCTGATGCTGTGGTGGCTGGGACACCAATGCTGGCCTGGAGAGCTGAGCTGGGGCTGGGCCCTTCCCACTCCATGAATGTCCAGGAACAGAGTCCCCATCAGCAGTGAGGGCCCGGCCCTGTTGCCATGGAAATGGATAGACTTTCTGCTCACATTTTGGTGGGAAGAGGCATTTCAGGAGTCACAGCAGCTCCCAGAGTGAGCACAGGAGGAGCCAAGTGAGGGCAGAAAGCAGCAGAGCTCCACAGAGGCACCAGAGGGGAAACTGCTCCCACCCCACGCTCCAGGGATTCAGAGCTGGCTGCAAGCAGAGGGGAAAACGCCACCAATAACCAGCAGCAGAGCGAGCTCCAAGGATTCACAAAATAACATCTTGGGTTTGCAGTATTAAAGAGCAATTTGGCTGCACTAAGAGAGCTTTAGAGCTGCTCCTCTCCCACATCCACGTCAGGCTAATGACATCCTGTCAGAAGCAATCCACACAAACCCCTCTGTGCAGTACCTGGCACGGCTCTGGGGCAGCTCTGTCCTGCCTGCTGCTCCTCCCTGGGCTGGGAGATGTCCTGTCCACCCCCGGAGCATGAGGCTGAACCATGAGATGTGAGGGAATCACCCATCCTGGGTGCCAGGGCGTTCTCCTGGCTCCATCCATGAATCCCAGCATTGTGCCAACATGAAAAAACAACAGAAATGTAAGAGCAAGATGAGGAGCAAGAAAAGGAGCAAAAAGAAGAGCAAAAAGGGGAGCAAAAAGGAAGAAGAACAAGAAGAAAGAGGAGCAAAAAGGGAGAGGAGTAAAAAGGGAGAGGGGAAAGAAGAGGAGCAAGAAAAGGGGAAAGAAGAAAGAAGAGCAGGAAGGAAGAGGAACAAGAAGGAAGAGGGGAAAGAAGGAAGAGGAACAAGAAGGGGGAAAGACCCCACAGATCCACAATGGGATCAGGCTCCTCAACAGTCAAACAACCCCAAATTTCCTGAAGCAGGCAGGGCTGCTCACACGTGCACCACAAAAACAAACTCACAGCAGCACCTGCAGGGCAGCAGGGAAGGAATCGAGGCCACAGCCCAGACAAGCAGATTCCTGCCTGCAGAGCAGCATTCCTGGCAGGGCTGGGCAGCCAGGCCAGCCTGCAGGATGCTCTCAGACCCGGGGGCTGTTCACTGCCTGACCTCATGTCACCCCACTCAGCACAAAGCTCCTCTCCACTGCACGAGCATTTCCCAGCTCTGTGGTGATCCAGGGAAAAGGAAACTTTGGAGCAAAGAAAACCCAGCTGAAAAAAACAGGAGCCAGAAGGAGAGGTGGCATTCCTCAAAACACAAAGTTTAACATGATCAGCGTTGAGGGGGGCACCTCCCAGGTCATTTAGCAGCCAGAGGAGTCACTAGATGGCCCTGCTAGCCCTGTTCATCTGATCTCAGCACGGATATGGAGAAATGCTGCCCTGGCTGCTCTGCAGGAGCTGGGAAAGCTGCTCCAGGTCTGCTCCTGCCAGGAAGGGCCTCGAGGGGAGCGTGGCCCCTTGGCCGGGACAGGTGGCAGGTGAGGGGCCCTTCC